GATTAAGGGGGGATATGATTTTCATGTACAAGATGTTCAATGGTGACAGCAACATTGGCAACCAACGGTTTGAGATTAACTCCATTACAAAGACTAGAGGCCACCACCTAAAGTTGGTGGAGAAAAAATTCCAGCACAATGGGCGAAGAGGGTTCTTTACAGTAAGAGCGGTTAAGGTCTGGAACTCACTGCCATCGGCAGTGATTTCAGCCAAGAGTGTAGATTTGTTCAAGAAACGTTTGGACAATTTCTTGAGGGACCGTAATATCCAGGGATACCAGTATCCCTAAGAATGAGATGATGCGTGGACCTATATGGGTTGGACTTGATGGACGTATGTCTTTATTCAACCCCAAATACTATGTAACTATAACTATGTATACGACCTTATACCGACCACTCTGGGTAGACTTAGAAGAATACACCTGTTCACCTGTTTCATTAAAGGCCATTCCCTGGCTGCCGGCTGGGCTACGTCCAAAAACAATGAGCCCCATCTTGAAACATATGATTAAAATATGGGACAATACAAAACATTATAGTAAATTCCAATCCTCTCATATACCATTACTTCCTATTGTAGGTAACCCTTTATTTCTTCCCGGGAATGGGAAAGACAAAGTCCTTTGTTTGGTGGACCTCTCAAAAGGTGACGTGCCTACATCATTTGGTGGAGGACGGCACAATTTGTACCTGGCTCTATTTTTTTAATCATTCACAAGCTCCAGATACGGAATATTTTAGATATCTACAACTTAGACATTGGGCTGCATCAACGCTCCCTAAAGCTCCATTTATATCAGAATTAACATTTTTTGAGAATATCTGTCTAAACCGTCCTACAACTCCTAAACGTATTTCAATACTCTATTGCCAATTAAATAGGTTATCGACGCCCGGAGCTTGGAATGACTAGACAACCAAAGGAATGGCAAAAAACCTGGCAATCAATAGCTACTTGTTCTATAAATGTAATATCTTTAGAAACGGCATTTAAAACTTTAACCAGATGGTATTTGGTGCCCTCAAGGTTGGCTCATCTCCACTCGACACACTCAGATCTTTGTTTCCGAGGATGTGCCTCCAGGGGAGATGTTATTCATACCTGGTGGACCTGCCCAAAACTGGATAGGTTTTGGTCGAAAGTATTTCAGCTGATTGGGGACCTCTTCTTGGTCAATGTGGAAAGAGACCCATGGGTAGCCCTATTACATTTTAAATCCTCTTCCTTTACCAACTTACAACATAAACTGGTGATTTATGTTATGTTGGCGGCCAAACAGACCATTGCCCAGGCCTGGAAGAAACCATACGTGCTTTTTAGAGACGTAAAAAAAAGAATGGACTCCTTTTTTATTAATGAAAAATTGACTAGTATTTTATTGGACTCTGTACCCGACTGGGTACCTCCGCCAAAGAGCGTCTCCTGCCCGCCAAACCCCACTCTCAGCCAGCAGATTCGCAGTAACCAGCCCCTAACCCCCAATCACGAGGCAAAACTCATCTTGAAGGTTCAACATAGAAAGAGCAACTTCTTTATTAAACACAGGACATTCACTTTTGAGACACTGGGAGGGATACAACCCCTCCCCTCCCCCTCATGACAAACACAGATAACAGATTACACAGTGAATCAGACATTTTACATACACAGTCAAACAGTACAATAGGGTGAGCATCAGATAACAGGTGATGGGGGGGGGGGGAAGCTATGCAACTTCTATACAACTGACTTAACTTAATTAAGTCTCCATTTTAGACAAACCATGTGGCCAAGTCCTTTTCCTCCACGATTTTAAAACATATATTTCCCAGAGGGCAACAGTCACTGTCTGCATATAAAATGTACATTTAGCCCCAAAATCTCCTGTTCTCTTGCTGGGCCATAATCGGTGGGTAAGAGGCCAGTCTGCAGCCCCCTCCAACTAGCACAGTGACGGTGCAGTCCGTCACAGACTCTAACAAAAAAAATTTGAGGATTTGGGAACCCTGGATGGCCTATGCGCATCCATCACTTTCCGCTGAAAGCGTGACTTTTCTGTAAGATAAGATAGATATGTAGATTTGATTTAAGTGTCTTTAGAGTATTATTTTTTTTGTTGGTTGTTTGTTTGGTTTTGTTTTGTTTCCATTTGTGTTGTTGTTTTGACTTGTGCTGTTGTTTATCCTGTGCTGTTTGATGATTTGGTTGGGTTATTCTGATAGTGACGATATGGCGGGGAGGGTCAACGGGGAGGAATTGTTCATGTTTATCCTTGTAGACTATCGATGCCAATGTTTGTATATGGATGTTTTATAATATAAAACTAATAAAATCTTTGAAAGAAATCTAGAATCTATAAACATGTGTCTGCAGGCAAGCTCAGGGAGAAAGCCCAAAGGTGTTATCTTGCCAAGGATCCAGTTTGCCTTAATCTAGCCCTGTGAGTGCATGTGAACTTGTATTATTAAAGACAAGTGATAATAATTAGACAAACACTTTATATGCAATATATGTTCTGGGAAAAAGAATAGTAGTTGAAAATTTTCTTAAATAAAATCAGCTGACTGTATATTGTGACTGATAATATCTAACATCTTATTTTTTCCAAAAGGCTGGATTTTCCCCGTGACTACTGTCCTCCATATACACCAACTTTTACTAGTGGATGGGTTCCAAGTAATAGTAATGGTCAGCCCTGGGATGATCCAGTGGAGTTTCAACATCGTCATGAAGAGTTGAGGTCACAGGTGAGCACTGACATTCTGAGAGTATACTCTTTTTCATTGCTGATTGTCCGGATCCCCTCAGCGTATTTTTTTCTGATACATACTTATATTATAAAGGTGGCCATACACTGTACAACCATCGCAAGACCTTAGTCTTGCGATGGTTGTAAAGTGATTAAAAAAACGTACGATCTGCCCATCTTGGACAGGCAGATCGTACTCTCGATCAGCGCAAGCCCGCCCCCCTGAGGGGCGGGCTTCCGATGACGGCAATGCTGAACAGGCAGTGCGCACACCGGCCCGTTCGGCGTTTGTCTCCCGAGCACCATTCAAACCAGCCGAAAATCGTACGATTTTCGGCTGGTTTTCTAGCGTGCTCCTTAGACAAAAGACATGCGACCGTACAGTAGAAGCGGTCGCACGTCTTCGTTCACACTGCTCGATTCTCGTATGATCGCGGGATTTCCCACGATTCTCGTACGAGAATCGAGCAGTGTATGGGCACCTTTAGGCTTCTCTTTCAGATGTGTTTATTTACGTGTGCCAAGCCAATACATACATGGGAGAAGATAGGAGCAATGTGACATATTTACTATAAAAATAAAAGCTTGATTCATAAATTTGATCTATTTATAAATATTTTCACTCAAAATTCACACAGCTTTCATACAGTCATGTATTTGACACCAATTATGTATGAATCTTGGGTGAAAGTTGGAGAAAGTTTGTGTGAAAATATATATATAAATAGACCCCTAGGCCTATAGCATATCCTTTGCTGAATAGGAGGGAGCATGAATTATACTAGATAGGTCCCTGAATCTGTTACTTGCTTGTGTCATAAAATTCCTCTCAATTAGTTTAGCAACTCCTTGTTGTTGCCTTTGTTGTTGTCATTGTTGTCGGTGGTGGTACTTCAATGGGTAAGGCCTCATGCACACGTTATACACAGTAGATGTTATCTGGAAAGTATAAACAACCAGATCACTTTTTCCTGTGTTTAAATGTTCCTGAGTTTAGTTATGTTTACATGCATTTAGGCACATTTAGCAGTGTAAGAGCTACTTCACACCAGAACTGCGCAACTGAATGTGGTTTTACCACAACTGTACTGCAATTGTACCACGATTGATGCGTTTTTTTGTTGTTGTTATTTCTTTTGCTTAAGATGGGATTTCAGGTGTGTTCCAGTGCATTTGCATGTGTTTTGATGCATTCCGTTGTGATCCGATGCAGCTATATTTGGGCAAGCAGTATTTTGATGCACTATGAATGCAGCTGCCAAACTGAACGGACTGCATCACAACTGCATCTTGTGTGAACTAGCCCTATAAACTTTTGGTTATTTGTTTAGATGAAGTACTGAGATCTTGAGGAATGCTAAATTTAGTTTTACTTGCTTAGGAGGACATTACATCAGTGTATTCAGCATTATACAGCATGCAGAACTTCCTGTGTATACACTATATTACCAAAAGTATTGGGACACCGGCCTTTACACGCACATGATCTTTAATGGCATCCTAGTCTTAGTCCGTAGGGTTCAATATTGAGTTGGCCCACCCTTTGCAGCTATAACAGCTTCAACTCTTCTGGGAAGGCTGTCCACAAGGTTTAGGAGTGTGTCTATGGGAATGTTTGACCATTCTTCCAGAAGCGCATTTGTGAGGTCAGGTACTGATGTTGGCTCGCAGTCTCCGCTCTATTTCATTTCAAAGGTGTTCTATTGGGTTGAGATCAGGACTCTGTGCAGGCCAGTCAAGTTCCTCCACCCCAAACTCGCTCATCCATGTCTTTATGGACCTTGCTTTATGCAGTGGTGCGCAATGTTGGAACAGGAAAGGGCCATCCCCAAACTGTTCCCACACAGTTGGGAGCATGAAATTGTCCAAAATGTCTTAGTATGCTGATGCCTTAAGAGTTCCCTTCACTGGAACTAAAGGGCCAAACCCAACCCCTGAAAAACAACCCCACACCATAATCCCCCCTCTACCAAACTTGACCACTTGGCACAATGCAGTCAGGCAAGTACCATTCTCCTGGCAACCACCAAACCCAGATACGTCCATCGGTTTGCCAGACAAAGAAGCATGATTCGTCACTCCAGAGAACACGTCTCATCTTCTCTAGAGTCCAGTGGCGGCGTGCTTTTCACTGCTGCATCCAACGCTTTCCATTGCACTTGTTGATGTAAGGCTTGGATGCAGCAGCTCGGCCATGGAAACCCATTCCATGAAGCTCTCTACACACTGCTGTTGTGCCAATCTGAAGGCCACATGAAGTTTGGAGGTCTATTGACTTTGCAGACAGTTCGCGACTTCTGCGCACTGTGCGCTTCAGCATGCGCTGACCCTGCTCTGTCATTTTACATGGCCTACCACTTCATGGCTGAGTTGCTGTTGTTCCCAGTTGCTTCCACTTTGTTATAATACCACTAACAGTTGACCGTGGAATATTTAGTAGCAAGAACATTTCATGATGAACTTATTGCACAGGTGGCAACCTATCACGGTACCACGCTTGAATTCACTGAGCTCCTGAGAGTGACCCATTCTTTCACAAATGTTTGTAGCAGCCATCTGCATGCCTAGGTGCTTGATTTTATACACCTGTGGCCACGGAGGTGATTGGAACACCTGAATCCAATGATTTGGAGAGGGGTCCCAATACTTTTGACAATATAGTGTATATATCATAGATAAACATGCCTAAGCATAGAGAATAAAGGTGCCCATACACCTTACGACCATCGCAAGACTTTTGTTGGCAGATCGAACAGGCAGATCGAACTTGCGATCATCGAAAGCCCGCCCCGCTTAGGGGCGGGCTTCCGATGACCGCAGTGAGGGGCGGGCTTCCGATCACTGCAAACGGGCAGTGTGCGCGTGCGCACACCGGCCCGTTTGGCAGTTGTCGAACAAGCAGGCCACGAACCTGCCGAGAATCGTACGATTATCAGCGGGTTTTCAAGCCTGCTTGTTAGACGGAAGACGTGCGACCGTACAGTAGAAACGGTTGCACGCCTTCCATACACTGTACGATTATCGTACGATCGCGGGATTTCCCTCGATTCTCATACAGTGTATGGGCACCTTAACATTGCTCTACATCTACAGCTCAAAAAACATAATTACACAAGTAATACAATCATATATTTGCTGTTACATTTCCAACAAAAAACTGGCTAAAATGTCCCAGGACACAAAAAATTCTTGTTTGTGAAAACTAGGGATGCACCGATACCGATACTAGTATCGATATCGGTGCCGATTCGAGTATTTAGGCAAGTTCTCGTACTCGCCCAAATGCTCCGGTGCCTAGCACGAGTACTTCCGGTATCAGGAAGCCGGGCAGCGCGTCATTACATCGGAAGCCCGCCCCTCACTGCGGTCATCGGAATGCTCTCTCGTCACTTGTGATGAGAGAGCATGGAGCCGATTTCCATGCCAATCAGGAAGCCGGGCAGCGCGTCATTACATCGGAAGCCCGCCCCTCACTGCGGTCATCGGAATGCTCTCTCGTCACTTGTGATGAGAGAGCATGGAGCCGATTTCCATGCCAATCAGGAAGCTGGCCTTGTGAGGTAAGGTTACCTTACCTTAGTATGTGCAGCCTGTCACCCCGGGGCCCTCTCCAGCGAGAATGCGGCCTTCGTCCGGTACCCAGCCGGAGCCGTGTAATCAGGAAGCTGAGCGCCGTCTAATGACGCAACGCCCTGCTTTCTGATTGGCCGGGAAGCTGGCTTCATGCTCCCTCGTCATCTCATGAGGAGAGCATGGAGCCGGCCTCTGTCTAATGACATGGCGCCCGGCTTCCTGATTGGCTGGCCAGACGGCTCCGGCTGGGTACCGGACGAAGGCCGCGTTCTCGCTGGAGAGGCCCCGGGGGTGACAGGCTGCACATACTAAGGTAAGAGGGGACTTTCTTGTTAATCGGGAAGCCGGGTGGCGACTTTTACACGCTTCTCGGCTAATCAGGAAGCCAGGTAGCCACCTGGCTTCCTGAATGGGACTTCCGTTACTCGGTAATTGGTATCGGCGAGTACCAAAAAAAATTATCAGTACTCGTACTCGGTACCAAAATACCGGTATCGGTGCATCCCTAGTGAAAACACAGCAAGACTGAATTCACCTTGAGGCTGGTAAAAATCTAAGTGTGCATTCAGCCATAACAAAGCATTACATGATTCCAAGTGTGTTTAGAAATGAGCTATAAACACACCAGGACTCATGTATTTTTATTGCCATGTGCATGGGGCCAAGTTGTTTGCAAAACAGTTCTTTTTTCTTCACAAATATATTTGAAGAAGAAGAACTCTGGGCAGAAACAAAAATAACCCTTGCAGTGGGGCTACACACACACTGCAAGTGTTAAGTGCTCGTTTTGTTTATGGAGCTAAAAAAACAGATATACACACCGAAACCTCAATCCCACCTGGCTGCTAGAGTGGTCCCTGCAGCCTCTCTCTCCCTTCGCTCCAGCTGTGGAGTGTCCCTCAGCATCCTTATGTCCAATACAATGAGGAAATGATCTAGCAGCCAGTTGAGATCAAGGTTTGGGTGAGTATATCTTTGTTATTTTAGCACCCTAAACAAGCACCTAACCCTTGCCGTGCGGGGGTAGCCTCACTGCTAGGCTTACTTAATGTTGTTTCTGCACAAAGTTCTTTATGTTATATGTTCGATATAAAATTGAAGCTTTTATTTCAAGCTGTAAAATATGATATTTATCCTGTTTAAATTGGGAAATGCATTATTGGTTGAAATGGGAAAGGTGAAGGAGTAGATGACACAATCCTATCCACTGCATTCAGTACACAGCGACAGAAGCAATGCACTTTGTGTAAAGTGGAGTAACCCACAGCAACCTGTCAGAACTCACTTTGCTAAATTCACTTAGGTATTAAATTAACACTTTTTTCCTCGCAAAGTTTTATTAAAAAGACCAACAAATGTTCGGTCTTTCTCATTTAAGCAAAATAAAAGTGCAAACAAATCTGTTGCAGAGAAGTTTTTAACTTAACACGCTTGTGGTATTTACTCTTTTCTTTATATGATATTTACCTTTCTGAAGTGGCCGCATCTGATTAAGAGCTAATACTGCACTCCCTACAACGTAGCACAGGAGTAATGGCACAGTTCTGCAGTTCTCGGTCTGTCTATTTGCAGCTAATCAATCAAGAGACTTTGTAGACTAGTATCTGTATCGGGGTCGATACCAGGCTGATTAAGGCTGATACCGGCACTTTAAATTTTCAAACCGCAGCGGCTGTCCAAGTTCCCCTCCTTTGGGGACCTGCATGTAGCTGTCCATGGCAGTGCCTGTCCGGTTTTATATCTCCTCCTTCCCAGCGCAGGCACAGCCTTGAACAGCCCCACACAGCACAGTACAGCCCTGGACACTGGCGCTCTTCGCAGCATAGGAACTGCCCGCAGAGCCCTGCAGCTAACCACATATCGCCCAGGTGAGATCGGCACACAGTGTCGTGACATGTATTCTGCTTTGGTGGCATGCATTCATTTCTGGTGACATCTAACTAACTCTGAGCTAACTCTGGTGAAAAACTGCCCTACAATTGTTAGTCTGTATCGTTTTTTAAAAAATGTCACATGTCCCTTTACGAAAAATTATCAATAATTGGTATTGGCGAAGTACAAGTGAAAGTACTTGTACTTGGTCTTAAAAAAGTGGCATCGGGACATCCCTAATTTGTGTACTTAGTTTTGTTGTTACATTAGACTAAATTGCTTGCAAATAAATGTTTATCACGGGCACTGCGCATTTAAGACATGATTCTAAAATGACCGTAAAGAGGAAAAAAATCAAAGAATCTTGCATTGTCGTCGCCTCACAGTCTCCTGCAATACCTTGACTTAAACCATAAAATTAGATATCATTACCAAGTTCACATTCTTACATTAAAACATTGTTTTTATTATCACAAAATCTTTAAAAACACGCTTACAATTAGATATGTGGATTTAAAGTATAAATGTGTAGTTTGTTCATTTCTATTTATATATTCATTAAGTATTTTGTTTACTTTTTAGCAATCAGCTACTCAGATAAACCAACCTCCCACACCCCCTGTTCTGAATGGGTATGTTATCTGTTAAAATGTTTTTTTTTGTGTGTTTCTTGGTTCATTGGAACCCTTTGGATTAGCCTTTCTCAGCCAGGGTGCCTTCTGGCTTCCTTAGAGGTACCTTTAAATTTTCAGTGTCATGCCTTTCCATGGTGCAGGCAGGCTGACCACCAGCACCATGGAAACAAATTACCCTAATCCAGAGAGGGTGGCATCCATTCAGATGTGATGGTAGGACACTGATGTGAAGAAAGAACTGAGGACTTGAGGGCTCCAATGTGAAGGGGGAACTATGATGTGAAAGGGGGCCTTTGATATGAAAGTTTAAAGGTAACTCTGATGTGAAGTGGGGCTTCTGATGTAAAAGGAAGGGAATCCTGATGTGAACGGGGACCTTCTGATGTCAAAAGGACTCCTTATGTGAAGGAGGCGCTTGAGATATGAAGCAGGGCATCCGATGGGAAGGGGGTTCGTGATGTGAAGGGTAACTCTGATGTGAAAGAGAAGGGCTCTGATGTTAATGGGGGCTTCTGGTGTTAAAGGGGGCTCCTAGTGTGTGTGGGGGACGCTGATGTGAAAAGAGGGGGCTATCTAGAGAGCTCCTGGCCGGCCGTTTTTTTACAAGGGCCGGCCCTGAGGTAGTTAACCCTTGCAGTGGGGTTACCCCTACATTGCATGGTTAAGTGCTCATTTTTGTCTAGGTTCAAAAATAAAAATAGTTATACTCACCCGATCCTCCGAGTTTTTGGTAGGTCTTCCTAGACAATCTTCCCTAAATAAATTTCTGTCTAAGGGTTAGCTAACTCCAATTAATTTTTATTTTATAGATATATTATATAAAAAATTGCCGAGGTCCAAGTTCACAAGGAATTTGACTATTTTGTAAGGGGGATATATTTAAAACACAGTGGAAGTTTGATTAAGAGGTGACATGTGATTAGGAGTCTGAAAGCATGCTTTTAAGTCTTTAAATGGTGTTTTAGATGATTGATGGCTGGGTGGAAATTTTTTGTTGCAATTTAAACACTAATAAATATGGGGAATGGTGTATAGAGAATTATATATTTCAAAAGACAGCAGAAATCTGTTTATTATGAGACACCTGACCCTTGTCAGGTTCCTAAATCATGTTTTATGTTTTTAATGGTGTTTTAGATGAACAATGGGTGGACATTATTGAATGCACTTTAAAAACTAAATGGTTTGTTTAATATGGGACACCTGATTAGACATTTGAATTTATGTTTTATGTCTTTAAATAATATCTTACATGATTAAGTGGGTAGAAACCCTTAACGCACTTTAAACACTAATAAATAAGTGGCTGAGAAAACTATATTACCGTTGAGTTGTATGATGTTCCTTGTTTGATGGTGGGGGAGGTCGTGTATGGAGCAGTTAACTGGGGTTTGCATACTGCATCAGCAGGTAATGCACCATGTTAGGTTAAAGGGGGAGTTCTTGGCGCTTAAGGAATTTAGCGTTTTTGCACTTGAATTGGGGTCGGGGGTAGGGTCTTCAAGGTATAATGATAGTGCTGGGTATGTAGTCATGGGAATTATCACAGACCGTATCTTTTTTTAAACATTCTGGTATTTCTTTTTTGTATTTGAATTATGGCTGACCAATGTGTTTTTTTTGTCCTGGCATTTTAGGGGGATGGGCACCCCGATGAAACGTACCCAAGTTTTTTCTATGATACCTAAATATAAAGTCAGTATCACCTGTCTGCAAGAAATGCATATGACTAGACAAAGTGTGATACAGTTGGCTAAACCATGGGTTCAATGGGCGGCTCATTCGTGTCACACTTCATATTCCTGAGGAGTATCTATTTTACTTCATAGAAATGTGGTGTGGGAATGTATCCGGTCAGTAGCTGACCCAGAGGGTCGCTATGTGTTTGTGTATGCCAAGGTATATTCCCATCCACTGGTTATTTTTGCACTTTACAATCCACCACCGGCAACATTACATTTGATTAAGGAAGCTATTTCATTTCAAGCTCAGTTTTCAGATGCTCATGTGGAAACATGGGGGATTTTAATTTATGTATGAATCCTGTTATGGATGGAGTTGGGGAGAGGGGACATAAACCTGGGCCGACTAGGAGTCCACTCTTATTTTTGATGACAGAAATGGGATGGATAAATCTCTTGCGATACATCTATTCAACTACAAGGGCGTACTCCTGGGCGGCACCAGGTAGAGGACAGCTGTTGCGCATAGATCTTGTGTTTATGAATGATAGGGTGCTTTCTAGGCTCTCTACCATAGAATTTTTTACATGGGGAATATCAGGTCACCCCCCAGTTAAATTTAGTATTAATATAGAGAGATATGGGGGGTGATTTACTAACCTAAACACACGCACGCACCAGGTGCGTGTGATTTTCACACAGCAAAACATATTTATCAACCAAAAAGTATCTAAAAGCATATTTCCACTAATGCCATATATGGAAAAATCATGCACATGATGCATATATAATGCTGCTCCACAGTTTAGACAAAAATGGTTAGCTCAGGCATTCACATTCCTGCATTCATCAACGCAAGCAACACAACATAGAGCTAATTTACACAACATCACCTTGCAATTCATGCAGGGCTTTGCACAACACACCTGCTGGGTGTGTACACACTACAAAGGTGTTTAGATTCGACCCATAGATCATGTCGGGAGGGAACACACTACAGAGGTGTATACATGTTCGTGGTGTGTTTATAAGGTTAGTAAATCAACCCCATGGTGTTAGTCCAAGGTAGAAAATTCATCCATTTTTTTTTTAAACAAATTTTATTCTGGTTTTTTTGGTCATCCCCCTGAGGGTTCTGACCTTTTATGCAAAAGTATACAGTTCACAGCACAGTTCAGAGACCACATACTGCGATCTCAACATTTGAACCAGAATATTCCAACGTTAACAACCAATCAATCCCAACATTCCCAAGCTGGTTGCCATAATACTTTAGCTATTCTATACGTTACTTTAGTACTACTTAGATTCTTTTTCCTAGGAACATTTCCGCTTAGTTACAATCGCAACTATCTATAGCACCAGTGCGTGTTAGGGCACCTCCAGGACCCCTAAGTCTTTTGTCAATTTCGCCTTGAGATACCATGTGGAGTATTTAAAGGGTTGCATTATTGATGCTATCTCTGTGCCATCATACGTTGCTTCTAAGAAATATTTCCATCGCTTGAAAATTTTTTGTGTAAGTGCTTCAACGTGCATTTCAGTGTCTAGCTTTTCCCGATTAAACAAAACCTTCAGCTCCGTAATGACACTGGTGATTGGCGGGGTGGAGGAGGTATTCCAACCCCTCGTTATACTCCTCCGGGCAACCAACAGACAAATGTGCAACCAGTCCCGTCCTTTGTGAGTGGAACAGTGAGGTTCTACAGCTGAATATTCGGAGGCGCTAAACAAGTATAGCAGTGGGTTCACTTCCGGGGTCCACTTCAAGACTGTTGTAATATATGCAGTAACCCTAGTCCAGAACTGCGCCATTGAGGGGCACGTCCAAAAACAGTGGGCCAGTGAGGGACTTGGAAGTCCACATTTTGGACACAGTGATGTGAAATTATGCGTTGTTGTTCCGGCTGGGAGAAAGTATGCCACATAGGCTCGATGGATAATTTTAAACTGGGTCTCCCTCCATGTCTCATTAGTGACCAGTTTGCGTATCTTATTGTATCCCTCCACAATGTGCTCCACCAGATTTGGAGTCGGGAAATCCTTGGACCAGTCTTTAACATTTGAGGATGACAAAGTGGCCACCTAAGTAAGCTGCATCCCTGGGTATATGTCTGAAAGAGTATCTCCCTCCTGATATAAGTACGTCCAGGAACGTAGATGCAAACAGTACTTTGGGGTCGCTGGAGAACATGAAATTCATCCATTTTGACTGAACCTTATTGGCGCATATGACCGTATTCCTGATCAATTGCTAGTGTTTTGGGGATTTCAACGTTTTTTATTGGTTTCCATGCTTATAAACTTTTAATCGCACACAGAAATAAGGTCAAAAAAATTCTACAACATATATATCATAATAGGCATTATCTAGCAATCGATAATCTTTCGACAGCAACAAAGCATGAGATACATTGCTTCTTCCCCTGCCCTGACTTCTCTATAGAATTCAAACATTTCAAAAAGCCCTTGATACTTATTCTTATACCCTAGGTACTCCAACCTTTTATTAGGGGATAAAAATATACATTCGAATATTCTCTCATGCCATTGTGAATGCCACTATATATCCCTTAATCTATGCATGTCAATTCCTCTGGATGGGTAGTTCACAACTCCCACCAGGGGGAAAATTAAATGGAAACAGTATTTAATTACAAAAAGGAAGAAAAAGTATAATAAAAAAGGGGAGAACAAAAGAAAAAAAGAGAGAGTAAGGCAAAAAGAGAAAAAAAAATAAAAAAAATTTCAGACTCATAAATTCCTGATATCTAAAGGCTTCACTAACCCGGGGAATTGGGCACAATGCCCGACAAATTTGAAATCCCTTGATGCATCAGCCATGGTTTCCAAACTTCTTCAAAGCTGGTGCATCTATCTTGCAATATACTATAAAGCTTCTCATGGATCATAATCCAATTTAGTTTGGATAGAACCATAGAGAATGGTACCCTTTCTGATTTCCAGGACCGAGCAATTGAGATCTTTGCTGCTAAAGAAAAAAAGAACAAGAGTTTGCCCTGTGCTCTTGAAATACCTGGGACCGGTTTGTTCAAGAGTAAGTATTGCGGATCTCTCGGGATATGAAACCGGAGGATCTCAGAAAACAGGGCAAAAAACGTATTCCAAAAGCGGAGCATTTTTGGGCACTGCCACCAGATGTGGATCATAGTACCTTGCTGATTACATCCTCTAAAGCTTAAAGGGCTCTTCCCGGGGAACATAATTGGCAACCTAGCTGGAACAAGTTACCATTTGTCTGTAATCCCGGTGGGAAGCATACATTGTTGAACAGTGGTGCAAGGGGGGTATGAGAGAAGAGGATCCCTTCTTTAGCCCGAAACCTATCCCATAAGGCCAAGTAATGTAACAAAGTAGGTAAGATATTCTTCAGTCTCCGCCTAGTAGTCATCCATTTCAATGCCTCAACAGAGGTACCCCTAAGCAAACTAATCTCTAAATTTACCCAATCAGGGAGAACGGTCGCAGAGTTTATAGAGAGCAGCTGTGACAACTGTGCCGCTCTGTAATAATAAAGCAAGTTTGGAACCGCTAGTCCCCCCTGTTTTCTAGTTTTAAAAAGAATAGTACTAGAGATTCTGGGTTTTTTATTGCCCCAAATAAATTTGCCAATACACAACTGCATTTTGTTAACATCTGTCCGTTGGATCGGAATCGGGAGGGTCCTGAAGTAATATAAAATTTTAGGAGCTAAGGTCATTTTAATTGAATGAATGTGCCCCAGCCAAGATAAATTGTAAGTGGACCATCTCCTCATATCTTCCCTAAGGGCTTTGTATAATGAAGGGTAGTTAGCTGTGTAAAGTTGCCCATATAGCGGGGTGAGCTTAACACCAAGGTATTGAAGATAGTCTACTCGCCATTGAAATGGGAATGAGCACTTAAGAGCTTCCCACAACTCCGGATGAAGATTAATATTGAGTGCCACTGATTTAGCAGCATTGACTCGGAGTCCTGAGATCCTGGCAATTATACCCAGAACCCAAGAAAAGCCCTTCAGGAGTTTTATAAATGCTATGCCTCTTTATACGAAGCTCAAACGCGGACCCCTGCAGACTGGATGGCTAAGTTCTTTAACAGTTTCCCCATCCCGGTTCTCTTAACTGAGCATAAGCAAATCTTAGAATCCCCCATTTCCTTGTCAGAAATTAAAGCTGTAATCAAAACGGCGAAAGTGGAGTCAGCTCCAGGCCCAGATGGTATACCTGTATCCTATTATAAAAAACATGTAGAGATTCTGGCCCCACATATGGAAGTTTTCTTCAACTCCCTATGCTCAGGAGCCACCCTGGACCTGGACTTGAATAGAGCTTTCATAAGCGTTATCCCAAAGCCTAACAAAGATTCAGGCGAGGTCTTTAATTATAGACCGATTTCATTAATCAATAATGATATTAAGTTCCTATCTAAAATATATGCAAATAGATTAAAGACATTTTTAGGTAGCTAGTGTTTTTGGATGCACACTCTGGTCTTGAAGCTGGGGCAATGTTCTGGGACTCACTAAAAGCATACCTTAGAGGGGCCTTACAATCAACTATTTCTTATATCAAATGTTTTTCCAGACAGCTAGGTGACAAATTGGTCTATGAGTGCTCCAGAGCAGAAACAGCTTTTATTGCTAGCCCCCCAATGGTAAATCATAGGGAATGGCTGGTTAAAACATTGGAGAGTTGAATGCTTAAAAATGTCAAGAAACGTTTATTTTTTGTACAGCAAAAATATTTTGAGATGGGTGATCAACAGACACATGGTTACATCACAAAAATGTCTGATTCCAGGGGAGAGACACTAACTAAAGCAGAGGATAGTCTTGGCCAATTTGGGGCATTGTATAGCTCCTTATATTCATCTGCACTTGTTTTTTCATCGGAGGACATAGATATTGATCTATCAGATCTAAAGTTTCCCCAGCTGTCTCTAGGGGGAGTATATTTGTGGGAGTCAATGATGGAGAAAGATCTGGGTGTCCTGGTAGACCATAGACTCAATCATAGAATGCAATGTCAAGCAGCAGTTTCTAAAGCAAGAGACATAATCCTGCCCCTGTACAAAGCATTTTGTAAGACCTCATCTAGAATATGCAGTTCAGTTTTGGGCACCAGTTCACAAAAAGGATGTTATGGAAATGGAGAAAGTGCAGAGAAGGGCAACTAAACTCATAAGAGGCATGGAGGAGCTCAGCTATGAGGAAAGATTAACTGACCTGAATTTGTTCTCTCTGGAGAAGAGGCGATTAAGTGGCAACATGATCACTATGTATAAATACATAAATGGTCCCTATAGTGAGCTTATCTGTAAAAAATAAGTCAAGGCAACTGGACTTGCTGTATTTTTCTTGAAGAAGTTTCTTGAAGGATTCTTCACAGTTAGAGCTGTGAAAATGTGGAAAAGAATCCCCCAGGAGCTTGTTCTGGCTGGCTTGGTTAATTGTTTTATACCTGTATAATATACGCATTTCAGTACCTAAGGGAATCCAAATGATTGAGGTATTTGGAAGTTACTCAGACTTTAAAATGAACTGGCAGAAATTAGTAGCTATGTGTAATGGGGTGGTTGTATTTTAAGGGTTGGGTTGAATCACAGCTTCAGAGGTTTTGTAATGGAGGAGGTTTTTTATTGGTATAGGCTTTATACAGTCAAGTATGGGAGCAACTGGAAAACCGGATTTATATGACAGTTCACACTAAGGTGTACGTTTAATAAACTGTGATAAAACTAGCTTTATCACGAGTTAACTTTACTCAGCAGATCTCTTTGTTTTTCTCAGCTGCACAGAGGCTGTTTAATAACCTGCGAAAAGAAAACTTATATCACGTAACAGCTGTGAAAGGCTGAGATAAGTTATCTCAGTGATCAGTTGAGAAAGCAATTTGGGGAATGTTTCTGAGGGAGAGTGATTTTATCACCAGGATGAGAAGAGGTGAGATATTGCTGTTCCTACCTGACTTATCTTGGGTTATTAAACAGCATTTTCTAGACTTTTCACTTTGCTAAGGTGAGAAAAGCCTTCTCACTGCTTATCACACTCTTTCACAGTTTATTAAACGTACACCTAAGGGTAATTGGCACTTATTATATTATGCTGTATATAATGGCAGTTCACAGTATAAATATAATGGCAGTTCACAGCAATAAGCTTTATATAATGGCAGTTCACAGTATTAAGCTGTATATAATGGTATGATACTTGCGGTGAGCAGATCAGAGGTGTGTTGCTGCCACCCGGTGGCCTGGAACGGGAAGTGCGGGTCTTCACTCTGCTTCTGGTAAACGACAGCAAACTCTCACAGGAGGGTCAGACGGAAGCAGAGCCGTGGACTGGCTGCAACAGCCGAGGAGGAGGGGCTCTGTCCGGCCCAAACGAGGGGAGCTGAGTTGGGGCTCTGTCCGGCCAAAATGGTGGGGAGTCGAGCTGGGGCACTATCCGGCCCAATAGTGGGTGAAGGTAGGGGCTCACGTCCGGCCCAATAGTGGGTGAAGGTAGGGGCTCTCGTCCGGCCCAATATAGGTCTACTGGAGGGTGTATACCTGGCGTCAGGCTCCAAGCACGAACGCCAGGTAATTTAATCTGCCGCCCTAAATAGTAAAAGGGGGAGGAGCTCGGATGACGTCGCCGTTCGTGACGTCACTCGAGCTCCGACATTGCCGCTCGTGATGGCCGGGACCCCTGCTATGAGGTGGAAACGTTACACTATGGCACTGTGCTCCTCATTGGCAGTTGATGTATATCCAGAAATACCGATTTAATGGGTGTCCTCCTTTAAATATTTATGGCTATATATGACTAGGGATCCTTCTCAGGCATATTCCATCAATGTCCCCTCATTGTTAAGTTTTGTTAAGAATAAATTATCTATATGGGCGAAGCTCCCTTTGTCGGTACCTGGCAAGATAAATCTTATTAAAATGATCATACTGCCCAAATGTTTATACACATTATCTCACATGCTGGTTGTTGGCCCTAGGTCTTTATTTTAAGAGATGGACTCATTGTTTGCGTCCTTTGTTTGGCATAATACCAGAAAGAAGTTGAAGTTAGCTACTCTACAGAGGCCTACGGATGAGGCGGGCATGGCACTACCAGATCTTTACCTTTATTATACAGATGTCCAGCTCCAACATCTTAAGCACTGGTACCACCCGAGCTTCCATCGACAGTGGATGCCCATTTAGCATTTGTCACTAAGATTCCTCAACTACTGATTTATCTGGAACTGCCCTCCAAACTGCTACCAAGAGTATCAATTCTGATTCTTGGGTTGGCAAGGAAGATATGGCAGATAGCTAAAAAATTGTTAGAATATACAGATATCTCCGGTGAGCTTACATGTGTTGGGGTTAATAAATCAGGCACATTGACACACAAAGGTTGAACTTGATGGACCTGTGTCTTTATTCAACCTCAACTACTATGTTTTACTATGTAAATTTGATGAAAAGACTATAGGGTAAAGTATGGACAGGGAACGGTTTTTATGGTTAGACAATCCTTATGAAATGTTGAATATTAATGTATGCGGTTGTTGGATTATATGGATATGTCTAAAGTTTCATTTGTAATAAAGAGAGTTTATCAAAAAAAGTACTTCTTAGGGGCGTGGTCTGGTCATGGCGGCAGAAGGACGCGTGTGAAGGAATCTCTGTGCCAGCTGTGGTTATCTCACCTCTCTGCAAACACACTTCAGCTATTTTACTTATGCCAAGGGCAGATCTGCCCAGCAGGGGATCTCAGGGGATCCCGGGCTCAGAACTACGGGACTTTTTTGCTGCAAAAACACAGACTTACCACCTGGACTCTTTTCGAGACATGGCGCCAACAGGCTCGGGCTCCCGCCCCGTGTGATCCCAATCCACAGCATGGACAGAACGAGTCTCACCCTCTCCAGTTTCGACATCCAGCCAACTCCCAGACCTGGGATCCAGACGATGCTGCTTCTCCTCCTGCTCAGATCACATAGCTTTCTCCCTCGGATGATCCCTTGCTCTTGGTGGGACAGATACAGGTGGGTGCAACTTACTCAGAAGCTACCATACCCCTCTTTCTTTGAGGCCTTTGTGGTCCACATCGAAACAGCTCTTAAGTCAGAACTGGCTGAAATAAAACAGACTGTTTCTCATCTTGACAGCAGAGTGTCTACCATTGAAACACATAGGGAGGAGCTGGAGGGTCGTATCCAGCGGCTGGAAGCTCAAATGGGACAGAGGGATAGAGATCTCTCCCTACTCTTTCTGCATCAAAAGGACCTGGAAAACCACAGTAGGCACAATAATGTGAAACTGAGAGGCATTCCAGAGGCAACTGGAGACTCAGACTTGCATGCTACTGTGATGGGGAACTTCAATCTTCTTTTGGACCAAGCTGCCACTACTGAAATTATGATTGACAGAGTCCACAAGTCTCAGTTGACCCCATTGGTGGAAAATGCTTGACCTAGAGATGTGCTCTATAGAGTGCATTATTTTACAGTCAAAAATACAATCATGAAGCAGGCTTGGGAAAAGGGTCCCATGCTTTTTGATGGAGCCAAGATTGCAATTTTGCCGGACCTCTCCCACCAAACTCTGTAGATGAGATCTATAATCAAACCATTGCTGGAAAAGATCCTATCAGTGGGGGCTACTTACCAGTGGGGCTTCTCATTCCATCTCCAGATTCAGAGAAATGGTCAAATGTTTGAACTAGAAATCTTCACAGATTGCAGATGTCCGTAGATTTCTGGACATACTTCCGATGACCTTACCTGACTGGTCTTTCACCTTCCGAGATCTGCCACATAGCAATACCCCACTGGAAGTATCTGGTTTGCACCCCCAGTGTCCTCCCGGACGCCGCTGAGTGGAGTCCCAGGGCGACAGGGAAAAGGGAGTGGTCACTTGGGTTGTGCACCCTCTGGGATTTGCCTTGTATTCATTGTCTTATAGATATACTGTATATACAGGTCAATGCACTAATGCAATAAACTCAGGACTATGCAACACAATAAGGCCCCGTTCACACCAGACACGGTGCATTCCGGACTGATTCTGGCCAGAAGGCACTGCATTGCGGCCGGCTCACTATGTTGTGGGGCAGGAGTGGGCGTGGCAGTCCATAGAAGTGAATGCTGCAAGCACTATTTTGTTCGGACCAGACCGCAGGCATTGATGTGTCTTGCATTCCCGTGTGGCCGATCGCATTGCGGCCAGAGGGCGTGGCTACGGTGCCATTCACTTCAATGGACCGCCACGCCTCCTCCTGCCCCACAAGTAGTGGTACATTTGTTCTGAACTACTTGTTAAATCATACCATAACATTTAAATTAAAAGTCTTATTGTATGATTTGTCAAGTAGTATAGAACAAATGTACCAATGCGTAGTTATAAAAGGGGAACAGCAGGCTCACTCCAGTCAAACTATTTAGTAATGTACAAATTAGTAATTTTCCTACTAAAATAAGGTCAGATAAGGTAAATAATTGTGAACCAGGTATGAGCAATAACAAATCTTGTATTACTAGCACTAAACTGGAATGCATGTATACGAATGCTAAAAGTCTAGCGAACAAATTGGAGGAGCTTGAAATTATGCTACTTGAAGAGTACTTCGATATAGTGGGAATAACAGAAACTATGCTAGACAGCGCACATGACTGGGCAGCTAATGTACAAGGGTACAACCTGTTCAGGAGGGACAGGGTTGGTAGAAGGGGGGAGGGGTATGCATGTATGTGAAAAACAACCTAACTGTACATAGACGAGATGACATCACGGCAGATAGCAGTGATAGTGTGGAGTCGTGGCCAGAACTAGAAAAGACCAAATCTAGTGGTAAACCTATTTTGTGTGTGTGTTATAAACCCACGCATATAGGGGAAGAGGAGGAGACTCGACTACATTCTCAAATATAATTGGCTGGGAAGCAGGGAAATGTTATTATAATGGGTGAATTCAATTACCCGGACATTGATTGGTCGAACGGAGCATCTCATTCTATAAAGGCAGGGCCGTTTTCTAGACCTGTTGCCGGACAATTTCATGGATCAAATGGTTGAGGGCCCAACCAGGAAGAATGTTATAGTAGATTTATTCATCTCCAATAATGCAGACCAAGTGGAGGAAACAGAAATTAGGCATACTTTGGGTAAAAGTGATCACAGGGTAATTATTTTTAATGTTGGGTACAGCAAATAGAAGTGTGTTGGTCTGACAAGAACGCTAAATTTCAGAGAGGCAAACTTCGATAAGCTGCGTCATCTGGTGTATGACAATAAATGGGACAAATTATTTAAAACACGGAACTCTGATGAGAAGTTGGATTGTTTTAAGAATACATTGCATAACGCTATTACCAAGTGCATACCATCGGGTAACAAACACAAAAGATCAAGAGCTAAGTCTACATGGTTAAACAAAACAGTAAAACAACACATCAAAGAAAAGAAGCTGGCATTTATAAAATATAAAATGGAGGGGACAGCATTGGCAATCCAGAACTACAAGGAATGTAATGAGAAATGTAAACACGAAATCCGGGCAGCTAAAATAGATTACAAAAAACACATCGCCATAGTTAGTAAAAAGAACCCCCAAAAATTCTTCCAATATATAAACAGCAGTTTGCATACTATTGATGTTAGACTGGTCTGGCATCTTGAACCTTTTTTGAATATTGGTACTACCGTAGCGTTACTCCAGTCACTTGGTACCCTTCCAGTCATTAACAAGTCCTTAAAGATGAGGAATAATGGTCTCCTACTCCTGGCAGACTCTCCATGGGCTCTTCCGGGCAGTCCAGATTTTCTGTTGCAAGTATCCCCCCTTCCCCCACTTTAGAGTAATTGGTTTTAGGGATCACTTGGACACTGCTATCTCTACATCCTTAAGCCTAGAAAGTCAGCCTCCCACAGGGTCTATCATCACACATGGAAGGCAAACTTTAAGTGGTATAAAGCATGGTAGTTCCATTTTAGGAAGTACTGCATGGAATTCATTTATCCTTTGTCCAGTCTGGTCTGGACCAGCATTTATCCTCAAGTACTATCAAGGGGCAGATATCTGCCTTGGTGATCCTCTTCCTGAGCCTGCTTGCCTCTCGCTCATTGGTGAAGGCCTATGTTCGGGGGGTAGCTCACATCGTCACCCCCAAGTGACCGATTCAGGGAAAGACTCGGTCAGTCTCGTTCTCTTGGCCCTTCAGAAGCTGCTGTTTGAACCAATTAGAGACATATCTCTGCCTTTGCCCAAGGTGGCCTTTCTTGCAGCCATCACTTCTACTTGGTGTGTTTCTGAGTTAGTGGCATAGAAATAAAAAGGAACCCTTTCTGGTTATCTTTAAGGATAAAGTTGTTCTGAGACCTAAGGGCTCCCTTCTTGCTAAGGTGGTCTCGGCCTACCCCCTTACAAGGATATTTTGTTACCATTCTTGTGTTCAGTTCCAAAACATCCTAAATAAATTTTCTTCCATTGTTTGGATGTAGTTCGATCGATCAGAGTTTTACTTTCTGGAACTTCTGCTATTTGGAAGTCTGACTACCTGTTTGTTATCCCTTAGGGTCCCTATATGGAACTACCAGCTTCCACCATTGCTAGGTGGATTCATCAGACCATATCACTGGCCTATGCCCTGAGAGAGAAAGCTCCATTGCAGTCAAGGCACTCTCCACTAGAAGTGCTTCTTGGGTTTTACAACGCCAAGCTTCTATCTTCCAGATCTGTAATACTACCACCTTGTTCACACTTCTATTGCGGATGCCAGTTTTGGGTGGAAGGTTCTTTTAGGTGGCCCTGTAATCCTTGGTCTCGCCTCCGTTCCAGTCCTCTGTTTCTAGTTCTGGTTTCCTGTTGGGGTTGTTCTCCTTGCCCCTGTTAGATGCTGTTATCCTGTGTTGCCCGTCCCCTCTATTGGACTGTTTTTGAATGCCCTAGTGGTCTAAGCAGCAACTAAGTAAGACATAAGTACACTATGATGTCCAACTAAGAAAACAGGATACCAGACCCTCTGCTCTGAGTCCATCCCCAACTCCTGTTGTTAAGTAACTTTTAAAAGACCTGTGGCAAGAATCCTGTTTATGACAGTGGTGGGATACACTCGGCCAGCAAGCAAGTGACTGATTGTTGGTTCTTGGGCAGGTAATCTCTTGGCTGCTTTTTTTTTTCTTTCTTTTATTTGTGGTATCTTCCTTATTTTTATTGTATTTCTTTTACTTTAGGGATGATTTAAGATGAGCAGTCACTTGTTGCTGATTATCCATTCATGAGCTGCCTTTCTTTCCAACCAGTTCACACGTATACGCGGTGGCATGAAGGTTGACTAAAGTCCATCCTCTATTCTGTGCTGGATGTGTGCTCACTGCATGCTCCCAGCACACTGACCGAGCTGTAGAAACCTGACAGGTTTCTTAACCCTCACAACTCTCCCTAAAACTAAAAAAAATAAACACTTCAAAAAGAATTGTGTGCATCAAAAGCACCTCACAACATCACCACACATTGCCCGCAATCCCATTTCCCCATAGTAACCAATACAATTTTGGATATTCCTGCAAATGTTCTCAAAATGTTAAGAAGGCCTGAAGGCAGAAGTGCAGGGCTTAGAAGTAGTATGGAGCAGTTAGTTTCTCAAGTGGAAGTTTCAAAGGCTGTCACCAGCACACCATAATCTTTTTGTGCAATCAGCAAAAGTCCATTTCTTGACACAAGATTGCCACCCAATTGCACTAGAGTGGGAATCTTTTGTCAACAAATGGACTTTTGCTGATTGCACAAAAAGCTTCTGGTATGCTGGTGACAACCTTTGAAACTTGCATGTATTTCACGGCGCCATCCGTAGTCACTGCTAGCACCCACCTGCATTTTGCGGGTCAGCGTGTCTGGTAAGGAGTCCAGCAAGACCTTTTTTATTAGCTTCTCAATTGGGTCCCACATGCCAAAATGGTGGTAGCACTGCACACAGCAGGGGCCATGCACATCTGCAATTCCTTGGCCTGAGTTGACCACCTGTGCAGTCACAGCTGAATGTGGTGGGGTGGCTCATGTTATGATGTGTAACTTGTGTATGAAAAGACTGTCAGCACCATCCCTCGTTATCTCCCATTGTACTCTGAAGGAGCCCAGGATAATGACATTCTAGCTAGGCTCCTGCTATTGCTGTCTGGAGCTTGTTAGCAGGGGAAACCCTGTGGTGTTGTGAAGACAGAATGCCTGGGGAAGGCAGGGTGGATGTGATGGGATTATAATCTGATCTCATTACTTGCTGTATAAAAGGTTGCACAGTTTCTTAATCAGAGTTTGTTTCACCCTACACCCGAGTCTCGACTAGTGACTGGGGAAACTGGGAGCTACAGAACAGCAGGTTGCAATATCTCCTGAGCAAGGAAGAATACAGCGGCGGACATACTCATCCTGAGTACTGGAGTCCGTCACAGTCTGATGTCCAGTGGTGATGGGGTGGTGCGTGCGGCTCCACTGTGTCTGCTCTGTCGCTCTGAGAGCTCCAGCGAACAACGAGCACAGAGCAGGCCATCGGGCATAGCAGACCGGGCTGAGCTGAACACAATTAGGCTGATTGCTTTTGGCCTGGCACAGCCCACCGGGTAAGTGCGCGGTATGCCCATTGGCCAGTCGAGTCCTGCCTGCTAGCACTTCATGCAAACATGAATGTCTCTGGTCAAATGACAAGAAAAATACCTTTTTGTCTGACATTAATGCCGGTCATATAAAAGTAGTGTGGGGTGCTGCTGCTCTCCGTAAGCAAAGATAATTGTAAAGAGAAAATATGCCAAATATGGGCCACCAGAGTAAGCTGCCATCTGTTGTCCCTGAAAACTGTGTTTGTTCTATAACAGCACCTACAACTTTAAGACAACCCTCCAAACTTGTCATTTAAAGGATCTGTGTTTCAATTGTATTAGCAAAAGTACTCCATTTCTATGCGGAGCTTTCCATGTCATTTGGGTAACAGTAGGCTGTCTAGCAGTCCTCCAAAGGTCCAAAAGGATCATTTTGCTAATTACTAGCTAAAACCTTCTCTAACCTTACACCTAACCTAAGCCCCATCACTGATAACCTCCTATTCTGCACACTCTCTTAATTCTGTGCTGGGATCCTCTCTGTGCCATAAGTTTAGTGGGCCAAAGCAAGATAATTCTACTGACTGTTAAATACATCTAACTTTTTCAAACATATTTATTTTCATTTATTAAAGGTTCTTGATGACTCAAAAAAATGGTGGAAAGTGCAGAATCGATTTGGACAGACTGGTTACGTACCATACAACATACTTGCCCCAGTTTCAGCCGCAGAATTTAACAACACCAAACAAAATAAGGTCCAGCCAAATCTGGCTAAGGTATGCCAAGCTGATAATGGCCATTCTGTGTTTGTAAAGTGTTAACTACTCTCTATTGTATTCAAAACTAAGGAAAATCGTTGTGGCTTAATATATACTTAAAGTGTATTTATAGCCAAAACCTTTTTTTTACTTTGGATAGAATAGAGAAAAGGTAAAACCCCTGCCTTGTAATTTTCTTGCTGTCTGTGTGCCATTGGGGAAGTTTTAAATTCACTAGTGTCCCAGAGACACTACAGGAAGTTACATGAAAAGTGAGGGGAACTCCCCAGAACAGGTTTCCCCATCAAAAGATTTCACTTTACCCACTTCTGGGGAAAATGCTAAAATTCTGGATTTCCTCTCACTTTCTTTTTCGGTGACAATGGTGACCAATTATTATTATAGTGATTACCTTTTTTATGTGCCTTTTAAAGAGGAATTAAACTGTGGAAGTGGTGCCCCAAACACCTCATTATCTATTTATTTATTTTACACCTTTATATAGTACCAACAATTCACATAGCTCTTTATATCTTGTACATTCACATCAGTGCCCTCAAGGAGCTTTCAATCTATGGTCCTATCTCTTGCGTTGGTTTTCTTCAGGGTACTCCAGTTTCCTTTGACACTCCAATGACATGTTCAAAGGTTAATTGGCTACTAAATTGGCTACTGAATCTAAATTGGTCCGTGTGTGTATGTATCACACACACACACACACACACACACACACACATCTGAATCTAAATTGGTCCGTGTGTGTATGTATCACACACACACACACACACACACACACACACACACACACACACACACACACACACACACACACACATATTGGGCCAATTAAGAGAGTAGCTAGTTAACACTCTTTGTGTGGGAGGATAGTGTAGTAGCCAGAGAAAACCCAAAAACCCATACAAGCAGAGGGCAAACATGCAAACTCTAAAATTAGTAACCTACCATACCTTGTGTGTTATTGGGTTAAAGAGGCAAAACTTTAGCACCACATCCCGAGGATAAAACAGTATACAGTAATACCTTGGTTTACAAGTAACTTGGTTTGAGAGCGTTTTGCAAAACAAGCAAACATTTCTGAAAAATGTTGCCTTGATATACAAGCAAATGTCTTGCAATAAGAGCAACATTTTGTAGAAAAGCGCCACCCGAATAAGGCTGTAGCAGTGCAAGTGATGAGTCTGTTTACGGACAATGCAATGTCACATTGGATAGATTCCTTGTTAAGGTTTCATGAAATGAAAAAGATTCCATTGAGTCAAGAGATAGCAGTGATTCCGTTAGTGATAGTGAAAGTCGTCCTACACAATAATCCTCCTCTCTCTCTTGTCCCCCTCACACCAGCCACGAAGGTACCGGTAATTGGTTTATTTTTCTTTATATTTTATACAGTATTATATTACAGTACAGTATTGTAATCATTTTCATATGAATATTTTTGGGTTGTGGAACGAATCATCTGAATTTCCATTATTTCCTATGGGGAAATTCGCTTTGATATACAAGCGCTTTGGATTACAAGCATGCTTCCGGAACGAATTATGCTCTTAAACCAAGGTATTACTGTATTAGCCAAACCACCATAGTCCACATAAGCAACCACAACGTATAACATTCAAGGAAGTTGTTTGGTGTAATTATGTAATAAGATGTTGGAACATATATTGATTGATGTTGTGGACATGGAATAACAAATTGATTTTATGATGTTATGTTTTTAATGTTATGCAAATGTGATTTTTATGAACTGCAATTATGAGGTTGTACATTGAACAGCACCTGGAAAGCCCCATAAAATGTTTGGTTGATATAATCTACCATACCTTGTTCTGCATTTTGTCTCTGTGTGGTGGCAGCCATCTTAGTAGAGACAGAACTTTACTTCCTCATCTCTGATGACTGCTGGTCTGATGACTGGTGGGAAATATTTAAACATCAGGAGAGGTGGAGGAAACAGATCCAAAGAATTAATGAAACAGAAACAGGGAGATACTTGCACTGCAGGTCCTCAGGTACATATTTCAATACAGCAAGGAGCACAGTGATATCACCAAATCTTGTGAGATTGACACTAAGAGACCTTAGATGATCACACACTTAAAATTATACAACTGCAGAAATAGCACTGCTATTTTTAGGAGGAATTAAAGACAAAAGGTAAATTTTTCAGGGTACTTATTAGGTACAATTAAAATGTCTAGATGCTAACAAAAGCCTTGTTTATATGGGCTTGAAAAATGCTGTATACAGATGCAGATGTGTACAGCGCAGGGACATTACTAGAATTGTGACAGACCTGGGGCATCTGTGGGCACCCAGAGAAGTATGAGGTGTCTTGCAGCACCAAATGGTGGGTGTGGCCAAATTACACTAACATTGGGGAGCCTGAGTCTATTCACTGTGTGCATGGCACACACATGCCACAGACCTTTTACCGACAAAATATGCTTTAATTATAGTGCCACAAGTGAGACTCTAACAGACACTTACAAACTTTAGCATAATCATTAAAAAAAAAAAATACAACCTGTTTTTTATATATAATTTTCTGCACACAGCTCACCTTAATGATGAACTTCAGGAGTACTGTATATAATGTACTCAGAGTTCAGAGTTTAGGAGTGTATAATGCAGAGAGTACAGGAGTACTCTGATCAAGAGCGGGTGTTGCATGAAGTACAGGGGTCATGAGTGGATGTTGAAAAGAGTGCAGGGCTCAGGAGTATATATAACGCACAGAATGCAGGGATCATAAGAATGCAATGCAAAAAATGTGGAGCCCAAGAGTACATAATACACAGAGTGCAGGGGTCAGGATCTTATTTTGTGCAGATGGCAGACATCAGGAGTATATAATGCACAGAGTGCAAGCGGTCAGAAATGCATATCACACAGAATGAATGAATCAGGAGCGCATAACATAGTGCAGGGGTCAGGAGTGTGTGGCACAGAACAGAGGCCAGGAGTGTGTAACATAAAGAGTGCAGTAGTTAGTAGCGAGTATCACACAGTGTACAAGGGCCAGTAGTGTGTATTGCCCAGAGTGCAGTGGTAGGACTAAATATTGCAGGAGTGCAGAGATCAAAAGTGCATAAAGACAAAAAGACAAAAAGGCTAGGATCAGTAGTGTGTAATGCATAGAGTGCAGGAGCCAGGAAAGCATAACACAGTTCAGGGATCAGGAGTAAGTAAGACACAGGCCAATGTACAGAATAAAACCAAAAAATACCCACTCCAGCAAGTACTAATCGCCCGCAGCACAAATCATCCCATCAGTACAGACGCCC